ACCCAAACACCATTCACATATACACACTAAATAAAATAAAAATAAGGCTGAACTTATTTTGGAGGGTGGGCAGCTACAAGATTTGAAAAAGCAACCCTTTTGCTCTAATAGCCCTCTCACAGTAAATTCATTCAATTCTTTTCCCAACCCCTCACATGTGGCTTTTAACTTACATAACCAAATGCTAGCCACTTGGCAGGGGGATTGGTGAGAGGTTGAGGCCAGCCTGGGCTAGAGTGAGACCCTGCTGCAAAGCAAAATCAACCAACCGAACAAACAAACAAAAAAACCCAGACCAAACTGACAGATTACAATGTAATTTAAGGTCTAAGTGAGTAATTTCTAGTTTGCTTATAAAATTTCTAGTTTTTCTTATAAAAATTTAGTTTTGTGCTTCAATGGGCACTATCACAAAAAAACTAACATACAAATAAGAAAAACAAATGGCAAGTCATGTAACTAAAAGGATGTTTATGAAAAGAACTCTTAAAAGCCGGAGGTGGTGGCTTTAGTGGCGCTTGCCTTTAGTCCCAGCACTTGGGAGGCAGAGGCAGGCAGATCACTGTTGAGTTCAAGGCCAGCCTTGTCTACAAAGTAAGTTCCAGGACATACAGGGCTGTTACAGAGGGAAACACTATCTCAAGGAAAAAAAAAAAATCTTAAAAATCAAAATATTAGAGAGAGAGAGAAAAAAAAAGTAATTTCTATTTAAAAAATAGGCAAAGTATCTAAACAGACCCATCTCCACAGAAGGCATACAAGTACCACTGATTTCACGAAACAATACTTGCTACCACTGGTACAACAGAAGCCAAACCCGTAAGGTAGCACTCCACACTCAGAGGATGGCTAAAATCAAAATGCAGGGAACAAGTGTTCTCCATAAAAATGCACAAAAGCCACAGCTTCACTCACTGTGGGTTAAAAAACGTCAACCGCTGCAGCTGCTTTGGAAAATAAAATACCATGGCAATTCCTCCAAAGAGTTAACTACAGGCTTACCAGATAACCAGCAGTTCCACTCTTGGGTCATACTCAAGAGAAAAGAAAATACATTTTCACATACAAACTTACACATGAGTGCTTACAACAGACTTACTTGTAGTAACTAGCCCAAAAGGCAAATACCCAAATACTCATCAACTGTGAATGAACAAACAAAATATATGTCCATACAATTAAATAAAGTTCAAGCATAAAAGAATATTCCAGTGATGGGCGTGGTGGCACACGCCTGTGATCCCAAAGCACAGGGAGGCTGAGACAGAGGCAAACAGATCTCTGTGAGTTCAAGGCCAGCCTGGTTTACCAAGGGAGTCCAGGACAGCCAGGGCTCTAGTACACAGAGAAACCCTTTCTTGGGGAAAAAACAAACAAACAAACAAACAAAACCTTAAAACATGCTAAATAAAGTGAGAAACAGGCCTGTAGAATGGCTCAGAGGTTAATTGCACTATCTGCTCTTCCAAAGGTCCTGAGTTCAATTCCCAGCAACCACATGGTGGCTCCCAACCATCTCTAATGAGATCTGGTGCCCTCTTCTGACATGTAGGCATACACACAGTAGAATACAGTATAAATAATAAATAAACAAACAAACAAACAAATAAATAAAGTAAGAAACATAATGTGCCCAAGGTCAGGAAGTGCACAGAGGTAGATTAGTGGCTGGTACACTGGGAGGGGATGCTGACGGGAAACAGCTAACGGGCATGGGGCTTCTTTCGTGGGGTGATGAAATACTTTACCTTGAGTGTAGTGATTAAATGGCTGCACTACTGGGACAATACTATACGCCAGTCAATTGTATACTGAGATGAGCTCAAGTGTGCAGTATGTGAGTCACAGCTCAATAATGCTGCTAGCTAACAAAGAAGGGCCCACTGTGCACTGCCAGAGTACTAAGCAGGTGCTAAAATAGTAGCGAATCTTGTTTGTGAACTTCAGAGAGCTTCAACTAGGGCAACGAAAACCCAAGAGATTCCATTACTCAACATCTAGGTCCTGGGCCATGCTGAAATATTCATGAAGAATTCCATGTTTTAATACAGAAGGCCACCTCTAGTTTAAAAGACACAGGCAAGGACCAGAAGAGTTTCCATAACTCAAAAGACTGGCCAATACAGGGAAATCATCAAATGGAACACACGCCCAAGGGCCTGACATGGGTCAGTAAGCTGCACATAAAAGTAGCTCTCACTGTGCCACCCTCAGGGAGAGGTCAGGCACTTCAATTACTAAGTTCCTAAAGCACCAGTTGGTGACGTATCAAAACATTAAATTAATACTGTGCCATCATAAAGAACTGACTCTTCCACATCCCCACTTACTTAGCTACGAAAGGAATAACATCATTTCAAACATTCTATCACATAAGCAGTGGAGCGACTCCCCACACAGCTGGAGTGGATCCCAGAAGCAATGTTTAAAAATGGTATTTAGCAATCCTAAATCTAATCCTAAATTATACATAGACACAAATATGGATTAGCATGATCTAGTCAAAGTAACAAATAACCATGAAAACTTTAATACTGCCTGCAGTGACATTTCTCCAGTATATTTATGTTAAAAAAATTCATGTCACACAGAGACTGGAAAGACGGCTAAGATGTTAAAAGCATTTGCTGCTCTAGCAGTTCTCAGCATCCGTGCAGATGGCTCACAACTCTATAACTCCAGCCCCAGGGAATCCCATGCTCTGGCCACCAAGGGCACACTTACGTCACTTATGTGTACATACCCAGCACACACAAACACACAGGCAGGCACACACACACAGGCAGAGAGAGAGACATAACTTAAAATAATAATAATAAATCTTTTAAGGGCTGGAGAGATGGCTCAGATTAAGAGCACTGGCTGCTCTTCCAAAGGTCCTGAGTTCAATTCCCAGTAACCACATGGTGACTCACAACCATCTATAGTGAGATCTGGTGCCCTCTTCTGGTGTGCAGATGAACATGCAGTCAGAACACGTATACATAATAAATAAGTAAATAAATAAATAAATGTTTTTAAAAACACATTTTAAATTCATCAGGCTTTAATGTACTGTCCACAACTAAAAGACAAGTAATACACACACAGAGAAAACATGTTCCAGTTTCTTAAGGAATGTGTCTGACCTTTAATATCAAGTCTGTTTGTGTGACTGTCAACTACCAAAACACTGGGCATTTCTAGACCTATGATAAAAGACAATTCTGCTTTATCTCTTTTTTTCTATTTATATATGTGTCTTAGAGTTATTATTGCTGTGATTAAACACCATGACCAAAGCAACTTGGGAAAGAAAGGGTTTATTCACTTTATGCTTCCACATCACAGTTTATCGTCAAAGGCAGTCAGGACAGGAATTCACACAGGGCAGGAACCAGGAGGCAGGAGCTGATGCAGAGGCCATAGAAGGTGCTGCTCACTGGCTTGCTCTCCATGGCTTGCTTAGCCTGTTTTCTTATAAGAACCCAGTAATACCAGCCCAGGGGTGGCCTCACCCACAATAGGCTGTGCCCTCCCCCATGAATCACTAATTAAGAAAATGCCCCACAGGCTTTTCCTACAACCGGAGCTCACATGGAGACATTTTCTCAACTGAGGCTTCCTCCTCTCTGATGACTCTAGCTTCTGTCAAGTTGACAGAACACTAGCCAGTGTAATAGACTACCTCTTAGATTCAAAGTTTAATGTCAGACTGCCTATCCAAACATTACTGAGTGTGAAACACACCTCCAAGCCTCCCTAGAGCTGTCTTCTAACACACACAGAACCAAATACTTAACAGCCTTTACCCTCTCCCCAGTTCCTCCAAGGCTGCAGAGGGGAGTGGGAACTACCTATTTGCCTTCACAACTGAACAGGCGGCAGGAAGCAACTGCTTGTATTTAATCGTGTTCCTGCCTCAGCTAGCAGGCCCTACTGTCAGGGTTCTGCCAGACAAGGACAATGAGACGCATTATTATATAGGGTGACTAAGAGCCTCGTAAGTACTGTTTCAGAATATAATCCCAGCAAGGAAGGCCACGGTACGGGGGCACAATATTTTGTGCCAACCATTTCCAAAACTAAACATATGTGGCACTGTGTATAAACACACTCTGCGGTCAATTCTTTTTAAACGCTTACAGGAAGGGAAGGCCTCGGGAGCTTGCAATCCTGGGAGACATGAACAACTTGCAATTTGCTTCTCACTCTGAATCCCACGACCGAAATGTGTAGAGCAAGCCGTTCCGACACCACAAAACAAGGGCAGCCTACATGAACGCCAAATATAGGATGTGATTCTAAACCACGATGGAGCGAAGCCTGCATTTCCTTTTCCAGCCTGCAAAAAACCCTTTGAACACTCCCAAAAAAGGACGTCGGGGCCGGCACCTCCCTCCGGGAGGAAGCCCCTTTCTTCTCGGAGAGCCCTGCAGCCGGCCACTTCCCCCAGCGCATTCACATCACTGGAGACAGGGCTGCTGCGCGTCCGCCCGCCGGGGACCGGCGGCGGCGCTGGGCTGGGTGTCCCCACCCTCCACATCTGATGTCATCCTAGCCATCTCGGCGCGGCGGAGCCCCACCTGCCCCGCGGGTCACTAGGTTCGGCACCGGGACTCGCTACTGGGTTCGTCCTCCTGGCCGGCCACGCCGCTGCAGCCTGACCCCGCCCCAGGTCTTCAGGGTCCGGGAGGCCATGCACCCCGAGCCAGGCGGAGCCCCGGCCGGGCGGCCGCCCTCGCCCCGCACACCGGGCCACGCGCGCCCAGCCCCACGTGAGCGCTCGGCCCCGGCCTCCCCGCAGCCCGCAGCCACCGCCTCACGGCTGGCGGGCCCAAAGCCGGGCGCCCTCTGCCCGCAGACGGCCATTCCCCGGCCGCAGCGCCCGGCCACGCGCGTGCGCCCCGCACGCTCAGCGCCGCCGGCTCCTGTCAGCCCCGAGCTTCACACGCGGGCCCCGGAGGCCCGCCCGCCCCGGCTCGCTCCCGAGCCGCCCCGCCTGAGCGCGCGCAGCTTACCCGAGCCCGGGTGCCTGAGGCGCCGCCGAAGTCCCAGCTGCAAAGCCCCGCGAAGCCTCCAACCGCTGCCGCCTCCCGCCTGGCACTGAGCGCCGCGCGGGGGAGGGGCGCGGCCGGCGCTGCCCGAGCCTCCTCGCGCAGGCCACGCCCGCGCGCCGCACCGCGCCCAACCAGCGCCGCTGAACCGCGCCTCGCCACGCCCACTTCCGGAAGGGCCGGGATAGACGCCCGGCGCTCTTTAGCGCGCCCCCTCTGGTGGTTCTGGGAGGCGCAGGGAGGTTCTGAGCACACGCCCGCTTTCCGGGGCACTTGAATGGCCGGTGGCCACGCCCACGGGCTCCTTCGAGCCCCACCTAGTTCTTTAGAACCTGAGCGGGCGTTCTTAAGCTCCACCCACGGCCCTGCGTGAGCTTGGTCGTTTGAGCGTCGCTAACTGTCCATAAGCCCGTGATCCAGGCCCGTTCCCCCAAACCTACCTGCCCCTAGTTCAACGCCACAAATCCTCGCTCGGATTTCCTGAAGCCCTGGGGAACCTATAATCATCCTATTTGCTGCATTTAGGCCCCGCCCCAAATTCTTAGAAGCCCCGCCTCCATCCGGGCCGGCCTACGCCTCTCACCCACGCTCTATTCCTCTTACTACTATCCTGAAACACAGCTCAGGGCTGGGAGGTGGCTCTTGGGCCTGGCCACACCTACCAGAGAGGGCTAATGACTCCTTTTCTCGGGTGAGGCTGTGAAGACTTCCTGTCTAAAGTCCATCAAGAGTACGTGGGTTCCCAGTCCCAGCTTGTTACTATCGGACGGAGTGACCCAGAGGGCAGTTCCCTCACCTCTTTAGGTTTCGGTTTGAAATACCAAGATCTAAGGAAACTGGGTCCAGGGAACTGGACCAGCTGAGGGGTTAGGCTATTTCCCAAAGCAGAGCATCTGTACAGTTCACATGGGGACAGATGTTCACATTGTTTTAGCTTCAGAAATGTCCGGGAATCTGCAGACAGGAGCACTCAGTGGTAGAGCCCTGAATTCCATGTTGCAGGAGTTGTGTTAAATTGCCAACTCAAAACAGCAAGCAACCGGGAAGAGTATGGTGGCACCTGCCTTTAGTCCCAGCACTCACGAGGCTGAGGCTAATGGGTTTCTGTCTATAGTTCAAGACCAGCCCTGGTGAGTTCCAGGATTATGTAGAGGAACCCTGTCTCAAAAATAAATAAATAAATATAATTTTTAAGAAATCAAGCGATGTGTGTAAGTTGTGTGTTGTCTAAATCAAGGTGTACCGGAACCAAACAGCTTTACGAGGAAGTTTTTACTCTCTGCAGTGCTTTCTTTTTAAAGATTTGCTTATTTTCTGTGTATTTAATACAACACCTGCATGCAGTGCCCTCATAGGTCAGAAGAGGCTGAGCTAGCCTGGAACTGGAGTGGGGGTTGGGGGGAGTGAGAGGACCAAGAGTCCTCGGGACATACAACCAGTGCTCTTGGCTGCAGAGAACCTCCCCAGCCCCAAAGCTTGATTCTTTATTTGTGGAGATGAGAGCGGTCCCTCCCTAACAGTGTTTAGTTTCTGGCTTGTGACACACACCTATTGCTGCCACTGCTGTGACCCAACAGTATGGAGGGTGGGTTTTGGTTTGCCTGGAAGCTGGCGGTGCTAACGGGAGGGACTCAGTTCTTCACACCCAACAAGATTTGCTTGCCACTCTGCTTAAATGAGATAGAGGTGGAAAAGCTCCTCTTGCCATATGGTGATGCGGAAAAACCAGTTGTTCTTCTTATGATCTTTGTATTTAATTAAACAAGGGCATAGACTATGGGGCTGAGTGAGCTGGGAGGATGAAGAGCAATGGACTGCTTGAAAGAGAACTGAGAAATACTGACAGCAGCGGCCACACCTCTGGAGACAGAAGTTACCCAGTACTTCCCCATCACCTGACAAAGCAGCACTGAATGCCCGGCTGTGCAGAACTGTCAGAAATTCTTTCAACAACCCTGTGGCCATAGAAAGACTTCTCAAAATCCAGCCATAAAGATGAAGAAGTAGAGAATCGGAGAAATTAAGTAAAGTTACCCAGCATGGACCAGGTGGACTCATCCATCTAACTGCAGGGCCTGCTCTCTCTTAGCTGGTTGGTCATTACCCACACAGCCTCAGGGGCAGAGGACAAAACAGAAAAACCATGGACTTCAGATTTTGTACAGACTCGCTTAATTCCAACTGAACTTAGTCATTGTGTTGCGGATATGAGACAGATCCCTTCCTCTCTTCTTATTGGTGTGTGAGTGTGTGTGGCATGCATGCACTAATGTGTGAAGTGGGTTTGAGCAAGCGGAAATCAATGAAGAACATCAGGTGTCCTGTTGTATCAATGTCCACCCTATTCTCTTAAACAGGGAATCTCACTGAACCTGAAACTGGGCTGGCAACCTTGAGCAAACCCAGGAAGTCCAACAGAGCTGGGGCAACCACAGCCGCCCCCAGCACTTAGTGTGGGAAGTGGGGATTTGAACTCAAGTCCTAATGCTTGCACAGCAAGCACTCTTAACTGCTGAGCCATCTCCATGGTCCCATTTCCCCTCTTTCTCTCTCTATAAAAATGCAAATACTTCAGGAAGTGATTTGGAGGAAATAAGTGTGTGGGGCTTTGTTTGCTTGTGACACCAAGCTCTAACCTAGGGCCTGTACCAGTGGGCTCACCCCACCCTCCTAATTACAGCCCCTCACGCCAGGTATACGTGCACACAGGGAGGCCAGAGGACAACACTGGAAATCTTTATCACATCCTACCTTATTTTTTGAGACAAGGTTTCTCAGTAAAACTGGAACTCACCAAGTTATACAACTGACTGTTGTATGCACAGTTTCCTCCAAGACTGAAACATTTCATCCTTCAGGGAAGCCTCTTAACCAGGAAGATAAGCAACTCAAGATAACTGCAGGAAGTCCCTGAAACTGACCATATTCACTGGGCCTGTCCCTGCAAGGGTAGTCAATAAAAGCAGAAAGCTCCTCTCAGACAAGACAAGCCCCGAAGAAGACTCTGAGACCAGATTAGCTCCCCGGAAGAAGCGGAAACCAGCCCAGCTGCCTGAAAGAGAGACCAACTGAGGCACCCAGAGAGGACACCCTCTGACCTGCTGAGCAGCTGCCTGCAGGCTGCGCAGTGTGCACCAGGTTCCCAGGTTTTATGAGCTGTCACCCGTGCTGGGGTGGACGTTGATGATACAGCTGCCTGAGTCACTTCTGCACCTGTAACTCACCTGGTGCCCGCATTCCTGTAAGCAACCCCAATAAAATTCATTGCTTCACCAAGTTGTACTTTGAGGTGTCTGTACTTTGGTCTGTCGTGGGTTCCCTCTCTAGGGTGAATAGACATGTGTGTTGTGTCTCCCCAGGAAAGGTTTTGTCACACAACGGCTTGACTGGCAGGCCGTCCGGCTCCAAGGGGTCTGCCCTTCTTCATACCCCTAGCACTGGGGCTAAAGGTTCATACCATTAACCTAGCTCTTTGCCTGGGTGTTGGGGATCCAAGCTCAGGTCCTTACACTCAAGCAGCTTATCTACTGAGCTATCAATCCATCGGTCCCCCATTCTTTGAATGATAAAATTAGAAGTAAGGTAGGTACCTGATGACACCAAGTTCTTGAAGATAGCACCACCATAGCACCGGTCTCAAGGACATGACTTCCCCGCTGCCCCATTCTGTTCCTGGCTTTCTCCCTGCATGGGTGGAGCAGAGACTGTTGTACGGAAACACATGAAGCTACAAGCAGTGCCACCTCATCACTTTCCTCCATGACTGCCCCATGTGTGACCAACTAGGAACAGAAAAAAACTGCTTTGCAATTAAAACCCTTTGCTACAGGAAAATTCCGTAACAATCCCTGCACAGGCTGGAATGAAACCTCCAGTCTGTCCAAACTTTCCTGTGTGGTGGATTTAATTCTGGGTAGGATGCTATACATTTTCCCACCCTTGAAAGCTGGTGGTGCCTCAAACTGGAAGATATTTAAAAGAGAGAAGGTGGGAGTGAGTCCTAACCACCCCATAGGTAGGTGCCAGCCCATGGTCCAAGAAGAATCCCAAGACTTAGTATCCAGAGACTTAGCAAATAATTTTCTATACTAAATAGGGACATAGTCTTTTGTTTTGTTTTGTTTTCCTTTTTAGAGACAGGGTTTATCTGTGTAATCCTGGCTGCCCTGGACTCGCTTTGTAGACCAGGCAGGCCTCAAACTCAAAGAGATCTGCCTGCCTCTGCCTCCGGAATGATGGGATTAAAGAGGTGTGCCACCATGCCACTCTCTCTTTCTCCCTCTCTAATTATTTTTAATATGTATTTATTTATTGTGCATAGGTGTTTTGCCTATATACATGTCTATATGAGGGTTTCAAGTCCCCTGGAAATGGAGCTACAGACAGTTATGAGCTGCCATGTGGGTGCTGGGAATTGAACTCCAGTCCTCTGGAAGAACAGTCAGTGCTCCTAACCACTGAGCAATCTCTCTAGCCCCTGGGGACATGAGTCTTAAGTTGCCAGGGCAAAATGGAAGCTAGTGAATTAGTCCCGTGGAAGCATTACCTAAGAAGAAGAAGAAAAAGAAAAAGATCGATGGATGGATGGATAGATAGATAGATAGATAGATAGATAGATAGATAGATGAGAGATAAGAGCCTTGAATAATACCAGAGGGCATGTTTTTTTTAATTGACTGATAGAAAAGCTTGGAGAATATTGAAGGGAATCCAAGACAGCTAAGGCTATACAGGGAAACCCTCTCTCAAAAAGATAAAAATTAATTTTTTTGTATATGTATGTGTGCATGTATGTGTATGAGTATGTGCAAATACATGTAAATATGAGCTTCTTGATATTGGTCCTGGGAACTGAACTCACGTCCTCTGGAAGAACCACTGTCCCTGCTCTAAACTCTTGAACTTTCTCTGAAGTCCTGTTTTGTGTCATTTCTGAGCCAACATCTCACACAGCCCAGTCTGGCCTCTAACAACATAGCCAAGACTGGCTTTCTCACACTCATGCAAACTAATTAACTCATAAAGGCCAATATTAATTCCTCCATAGACGATGGCCTTATGACCTAAA